TTTCAAGCACAATCGTGGTCCTCTGGCCAGGAACGGAAAGCACACCCAGCGTCGCCGACTCGACCACGTCTGCCTCCTCCAAGACCAAGCACACTGCCTGGGTAACCCAGACCTCCCAAGAGACAGTCACGGAATGGATTCAACCTTCGTTGTCCTCATCCTCCTCGTCATCAACCTCTTCCTCCTCCTTGTCATCCTCATCTTCAAACTCCGCTCGAACCGCCTGGGTCACGAAGACCGCTAAAGCGACAGTCACAGAATGGTTCGATCCCCCGGCCGTCGCTCCTTCCTCATCCTCCACCTCTACCACCCCGGGTGGTCCCGCCGTCGTCGTCGTGACAGCCTCCGCGCAAGCTACCATTACCCAATTCCACGACAGCACCCAAACAATCATCGTCTCCCCTCCCGCTACTTCTTCCCCCTCAGCCCCTGCCGTACCCGACGTCCATCCCCGCCTTCCCACAGACTCCAACCTCCCCGGCCCGACAAAGCGCATCGTCCGCTTCAGCCAGCGAATATGGTACACCGAGAACAAGCACCAGATCATGGTCATCGCCACATACGAGGACAACCATGTCGTCACCGTCTATACGGCCCCCGAGAGGACCGATCTACCCGCCGTGCTCGTGCTCGATGACCAGAACGGCAACAAGCGCGGCTGGCTCAAGATGACGTTCCGCATGGGCTTTTTCACCATCGACTTCCGCTCGGAGATGGCGGGCAGGGTCGTCGAGTGGGAGAACCACTGGGCCAAGAACGAAGCGGACGATGATGCGCCATGGTGCGAGACCGTGTTCCTGAAGGATGATGGAAAGGTAAGTTTGCAGCTCCTTACTTTTGGATTGCATTCAGATGACTGACTACTTGCTTCTAGGAGAGACTTGCTCGCGAGGTGTGGTGCTACTACACCGCCTGATGAACGGCTTACTTCACCGGGATACGAACGATTTCACAGTTTCGAGAGGACGAATCTTGGCGAGAGTCGCGTTCACTTCCGCGAGAGGTGACAAGTCTACTGCATCAAGGATAGCTTTGCTTGGTCAGGATTTTAGATAGGGCCCTCCGTTGGGCTGCCATCACGTCCTGACCCAGGAAACACGATAGCAATAGACATGATTGAGTCTGCATGAGATTTCTTTTCCGCTGAACGTGTATGTTTTGGGTGCCATGCCGATAGGCTTTCGTCTGCAACTACGCCGCAAACTCCTCAATGACGCTCCTTGGCTCCGTGTACTCCCCGACCCCAACAAAGGGCATCTCCAGCCCAAAGGCCTTCGGTCCTCCAACAGGCATGCCCTTCTCCGTCTTCCACAAGGGATGCGCCGGGAGCCCAATGACGTTCACACGCAAGCCATACCGCAGATCTTGTGAGCCAATCGCTTCACCATCCTGGCCGAGGATGGAGATGAGATCCGGCACGGTGCAGATAACTTCCTGGTCTTTTTCGGATCCCTCAGAGTCCGTTAGAGCAGCGTAGAGATACTCGTTCTGGAAAGGAATGAGCATATGGCGATCGGCGTTTGAGGGTCCGCGAGCATCGGACTCGCGCTCTTCTTCAGCGAGAGGGGCGAGAAGGACGCTGCCCATCGTGTAGCCTCCGCCGACGTAGCGTCTGACATCAACGATTTTGCCGGTGAAGAGGAGTTTGCCGGCACAAACATCAAACTGGACATCAACGTGTTAGAGATGCAGTGATAGAGCAAGCGTTCTTGAGACGAGACTTACGATCGCATCTATGTAGTTGGACTTCCTTCTCCGAGCCATATGGACCGCGCGTCCAAGATACCATGCCTGCGATACTGTGTTAGGGACGCCATGAGACTTGATGGCCGATCCAGGAAGGGGTCTGGCGCAGACAGCACATCCAAGACCAAGTTCAATGGCTGCGGTCCGCAAGAAGCGCTCTAGACGTATGGGGGTATCGGTATTCTGCGCGTAAATTTAGTAAAGAATGTAAAGCGCCTTGAGAAGGGGTCCCACCATCACAACGGAAACGTTGCCCCTCGCGTCTGAGAGAGCACAGGGAGTCAAGGGATGGCCATACACACTCAGAGTGGCTGTTCGGATAAAGGCGTCAGTAATGCTTTCCTCACAGGACGCATCACCAGAACAAGGGTCTCATACCTTGGTACATCGTTGGGTACGCTCTTCCCATGGCATCGCCATCGACAACGGGGATGTCGTAGTGGACACCCGTAGGAAAGATACTCAGGCCGTTTCCACCGCCGCTAACACTGATCAGTCTTCGAATACGTAAGCATGCCTTGGAAGCTTACATCTCATCGATGAAAATGCCGTTGAGAGACTTGATTCCCAGAATCTTGGTGACTGCATCAATACCGCTCGGGATCTCCGTGCCACCAGCGATTCTCTCATTGATGACACTGGGCGTGCCATACCACGATCCAAAGCATACCATATCCTCGTCTTTCAATGCCTTCGGTGAGATGATCCGCATTTTGCCTGTCTCACTTGTCCTCAAGGCCTGTAGACTCTTAAGGAACTCATGATGCGTCGGGCCTCCACCTCCGGTGCCCAGGACACCGCAGCCAGTCGAAATCAGCTCGAGGTCTACCTCAGAAACGTACCAATCCCCATCTTCCACACTTGGTCGGTACGTCTCGAGATCTACATGGAGTGATGGCTTTGTTGTGGGACTTAAAGCATCGGGGACGCTTTCCTTCACCGCCTCGTCCTCCTGTTCCTCCTCCAGAGCAATGTCGCCGCTCTCTGGAGGAAATACAGGATTCTCCGGCACGCAAAGCTTGCCTACAGCTCTGACCTGGATTCTCATAGCCCCGTTGTCGACGTACTGCAATGGCATCTTGTTCACCTCCACGATGCGCACATCGTCCGCTGACGCGCCCTTCTGAACAGCCATGTCGACTGCCTTCTGGCAAGCCGCTGCGACAACAGCTTTCTCATCCCTGCCCTCCAAAATTTCGATGACGTCGACCTCTCCAGAAATTTTACCAATCGCAGCTCCAACGGCATTGGCCGCGCCTTGATGAATCGGCTGGATGCACTTTTCGACCCCGTCTAAGTCCTCCGTGACGAGGAGCGCTCCTCCGCCCACCAAAAGAACGTGCACTGGGGCGGCAGATACTTTCATCTGCTCGATGACACCCTCGAGCATCATTTTGATCCTCCGACGCGCCTTCTCAATCGTTTCGGCGGGTACGTCTTTGATCAGACCGGCGTCTCCAAGTTGGGCCTTACCAGAAGCCACAACAACGTCCGTTGTAGTCAGCGTGGAGCCGCCAAATACTCTCGACTGCTGGGTGAGGAAATGGCCAACCGACCCTGGACCAACAGTCAGATCTCCTGATGTAGGGTGCACGCCTACCTTGCTGCCGCCGCCGAGACCAATGGAGACAACCTCTGGCATAGAGAAGGCCGTTCTCACCCCACCCACTTCAACAAACCCAGGGGCCTGTCTCGGGAAACCCGATGGGAGTAGGGCGCAGACGTCTGTTGTTGTGCCACCGATGTCGACCACCAAGACTTGAGGTTCAATGTTGCCAACTCCTGAGACATCTGAAGGATCTGTGGTCATTGTCTTGACCTTGTCCAGGCCTGCAAGAAACGCAGCACCAGTCATGCTGTTGGTCGGACCGCTGGCGAACGTCTTGATAGGATACTCCGCTGCCGTGTCCGCATCGATCAGTGTGCCGTCGTTCTGTGAGAGGTACAGTTGGCAAGCCAGCCTTAAACGAGTCATTGCTCTTTTGAAGCCGCGCGTAACCTTCTGCGCTGTTTTGAGGATAGCTGCGTTCAGAATTGTGGCATTCTCTCGCTCGAGCAGGCCAGGCGGGCCGATGTCATGTGAGCAGACGACATCGAGCCCCGGTGCCTCCTCCAAGATGACCCTCTTGCAGGTCTCCTCGTGCACACCGGCATGGTCTAGGGGTGCAAAAACACCGACGAGCGCAACTGCCTGCACACCGGCAGCGAAGATCTCTCTCGCGGCCTTTCTGATTTGCTCATGATCTAGTGGCGCAATCTCTCGGCCGTCAATCTCCAGTCCACCGTCAAGGTAATACACCCCTCCGTCGAGGATCCTCCTCAGGCCAGACGGGAAGTCAGAAAAGGGCGGGATTTGTCTCGTGAAAGGGCCACAGAGGCGGACGACAGCAACGCGGCTGAGTCTGCGGGTGTCGGCCTCGACCAAAGCATTGATGAAGTGCGTCGTGCCGATTGTGACGCTGAGAACTTTTTTTTGGTCGACAGCAGAGGTCGTCAGGACTTCTCGTATAGCTGACTCGATGCCACTGGTTATGTCCGGTGTTGTTGAGGCTTTGTGAGATGCGAGAACGCCGCGGCCGGGAGTGTTGGGGGCTGTGATGTCTAGGATGGCAGCATCGGTGTTTGTGCCGCCAACGTCGACGCCGATACGGTAAAGAGACATGATGGCTGGGTTTTGTGATTGCCCCGTCGCTAAGGTGTGTTGTTTGTTGCGTTCGTCTAGGAAATGCGTGTTTTTTATCCCAACGATTGTAGGACGCTGTTCTCAGTTGACCGATAGCTTTATTGGAAGCCACGATGTCAGTTGAAGCATCAACAATTCCATCGAGGGGTCTACGAGATTAGATCGGGGAACCTTCGGTGTCGTATTTTCATTGTGTTAGTGAATTGCGAGTGGATTGAAGCCATCAGCACCCCTGAGTGGTCGGCTTTCTCCCGCCGGCCCCATGCCGCGGGAAGTTGCCCGATCGAAGCCCACCGCGATCGGCCAACTCGTTTTAGCACAGGGTAACCCCAGCTAGTCTCCGCAACAACGCCTTAGATAACGGCCCTTGTCAAAATTGGCAGTGATAAGTATTCTCGTTAGCGCCGCGTGGTTGAGGTGATCCAATGCCGAGATAACGATGCCGGGCCTGGAGATTTATATGACTCTGGCTCTGCACCTTTGGCCGCCGTTGTCGATTCAGAGACGACGAACGTAGGCAGCTTGTTGTCGCATTACTCAAAGAATTGTGCCACAATAATCGCAATCGACAATGGGGTTTCTGCAGAGGGTGGAACTCCCCTTTGTTTCCCGATGGATCGTGAGTTGACCCGCCTCCGCATTTTCACCCAGTGGCACCACCACTCGGATGCTGGTTTTGATTGCTAAAACCGCGGCAGAACGACGACATTCGACCTATTGAGTCTACAAGGCGGACATGGGGTTTCCTGATGTTCCATAACTTTTGTGAGCAAGCACACCAATGCGCGGAGAACGTCGGCTTAACTACCCCTGACTAGGGCTTTTGGTGAACTGCAACATCACCACCTACCTCACGGGGAGTGCTTTGATCCCGCTTGGCCTGACTTGGTGGCAAGCTTTCATATGTGAGATTCGGGCTGTATCGGAATCAAAACGACTCGCTGACGGGCTGCAGGTATCGTGCTGGGGAACCTCATTGCAACGGGCGTTGTAATCATCAACTCTCTCCCTGGAAGTTATTACCACCGTATGTTGCCCGTCTTCCATATTGAACACGTGGGATGAGCTGATGATTGTAGTCGGATTTCCTGTCTTCAGCCGGGCAGTATGGGGGATGTGGGGGTCCCAATTCGTGATCTGGAATCGAATCTTCCTCTCGCTTGGTGAGTCTCTGAGGCCTTGAACCACCTCGTTCCAGCTAACAAATGTACTCCAGTCTGGTACGTCGTACGGAAACCGAGCATTTGCAACGCATGAACTAAGACAGCATCACAGGTACGGCTTCACAGCTTGGGTCGGTGGCGAATGCGTCTACCTCATCCTCCTGTCCTGGGATCCGCGCCTCGAGTCCCACATCCCCAACACGATCCCCTCAGACACGGGTATGACGACAGCGCAATTCGTTTCCTATATCATCTTCAGTGTGATTAGTTTGCCGGTGATATGGATCCGCCCGCACCGCCTCGAGATGTTCTTTCGCTTCGCCTGCTCTATCACGCTCGTCTTCTTTCTTGTTCTGCTCATCTGGGCCCTGGTGACCATGGGACCTACCGGCTTCGGCGACACCATAACATCTGGCTCTCCTCTGCCCAACACCGGAGGACCGGACAGCGTGGCGTGGCTGATGGTGTATGGCATTGTCTCGACGATTGGGTCCATCGCTGCCGGAATTTTAAACCAAAACGACTACTCTCGCTTTGCGACTCAACCCAAGCATGCCATCCTGGGACAAGCCGTGTCTTTTCCGTTTTACGGCATCTTCAGCTCGTTGATCGGCATCCTGGTGACGGCCGCGACGCAGGATCGATTCGGTGGTGAGGCCATTTGGAATCCACCAACGCTCTTTGCACAGCTGCTGGCGCAGAACGAGACGGCGGGGACACGGGCGGCATGCTTTTTCGCTGGGCTGTGCCTCGTCATCTCCCAGATCGGTGTAAACGTGCCCGGCAATGCCCTCGCTGGAGGCTTTGACCTTGCTGCGACGTTCCCGAGGTACCTCAACATCCGTCGTGGGGCGTACCTCACGGCCATCTTCAGCGTCATTGTGAACCCTTGGCGGCTTGTGAACACGGCCACGACGTTCTTGACGGTGCTGTCGAGTTACAGTGTCTTCCTTGCGCCGATGACTGGCCTCATGATTTCCAGCTACCTAGTTGTGAACAAGAGGAAGATCGATGTCGATGATCTTTACCGTGGCGACCCAGGAAGCATATATTGGTTCTCGTATGGATGCAATTGGCGTGCCCCTGTAGCAGTAAGTCACTGATCCTCGAAGGAGAGACCCTTGCTGACCATGGGAAGTGGCTGGTGGGCGTGGTACCCTGCATGCCTGGATTTGTGGCAGCGGTAGATACCTCGGTGACAGTTAGCCCTGGAGCAACTGAGCTCTACTACATGTCGTACGTGTATGGACTTCTGTCTAGCGGCCTGGTCTACGCCGTGCTGCACCGAGTGTTTCCGGCAAAGGCGCTCGACTCCTTTGTTAAGATAGCACCGTCAGCGAGAGAGCTTCAGGAGTTCCATCTTGGAAAGTGGGATGTTACGTTGGCAGAAACACCCAATGTCGTCGATGTGCTTTCGGGTCATGGGGGTAAGACTGGAGAGACAGTCGCGACAAAGACGGACGTGTAATGTTTCTTTTTCCCCGAACGTCTCGGGGATTGAGGCAGGGATAATTTTGATGGCCTCCGCCTGGTGAAAGAGAAGGGGTCCTCATCGGGCAGGTGCACCTTCCCATGGTGTAATTAGGGTCGTGCCTTCCTCCGTTCCTGCTTTCCTTCTGCCGCTCCTTCCCAGAACTGCGACCATACCTACTTAGAGAACCGATCACCTTCGGATCGCAACAGCTAACGGGACATCTTTCTGGCATATGGCCTGGTCGGTAGAATAGCACCTAAAAATATACCGTTGATCAGATGGCTCTGTTCACTTCTGCACGGCGCTCTGGTTCGATGCTCCATATGGGCACAGAGCGTAGAAAACTGAAAAGTTTTTTTGCTTCTTTAATCAATAACCTGGAGTACTTAGAAAACCTTAGATGTGATTTTCTTTTGACGTAGTCCTTTTTTAAAGCCGTCATGAGTCAACCGACAAGATGCAGTATCGTGAGGCCATCACGTGGGTGACGGGGACCGGCGGCCGCTCCCCGCCCTGAGGTTGCAGTGGTGGATGCGACCCCAGAAATCCACTAACAGCAATGACAAACCACCACTAACAGAGGCAGGTCCGACCATCGGCTAACTGGACCCTGAGATATCGGCCAACTTTCTCCCCTTCTCAGCCAACATCGGCCAACCTCCCACCCAAACCCAACCCACGATTCAATCTGTTACAAATCACAAAGTATGTCAACCAATGGCAGTACACGGGATACGCGACGACGCGAGTTTAAAGTCCAGAGCGAATTCGGCAACGCTAGGCAGTGGAGGAGTCGTAAGAACAGACCCTGCGATATTTGCCGGAAGAGGAAGACCGTGTGTGTCATCACATCTGTGCCGCCTTGTACGTATCAACATCATCCAATCCCGAACAAACCGATTGACTGAATGCAGGTCTTTTCTGCAAGGGGCGAGGACTGGAGTGCACATCAACCACGCCCTCGGGTCCATCCTCATCCACACCAACAACAGCGACCCCCGCCCGCCCTCGAACACCTGATCTAGACCCTGCACATCCGGCGCCACCAGCATCTGCCAGTCAAGGACGCGATCATATTCCATCGAACACAGATGCGAGTCTTGTTGCCGGCCATTCACCACCCGGCGATGCTGGCCAGAATGCCAGTCATGACCCTGCCGTTGCCTCTCCCGTCACCAGCTCCCGTCTAGGCGCGAGGGGGCTATGGACCCTGGAAGACAACGAGAATCGGACGGCTCACAGCATGGGCCCGGCTGCAGAGCAAGATACCTACGTCCTTGACTCCATTCCATCGGGCGTCATGAGCAGCCCGGATGATGTAGACGCCGACATGATCCAGGTCTACGCCGGTACCAAGTACCCCTGGGACCCTCCAGTCCACTTCTGCCTGCTCCAAGACGAGTTCGCGCCACACGACAACGCCGCAAAGCAGACTGCCTCAAACGACATCGAGGGTCTCGTGGGGCCATACGGACCTATTCTAGTCAGGCTCTACTTCAAGCATGTTCATCCCGTCCTCCCGATCCTCTCCAAGGGGAGGTTCCTAAGGCAGTACGCCTCCAATAAGACGAAGCTCCCAGCGTCCCTCAGAGGGGCAGTATACGCGCTGGCCTCCGTTTTCGAGAGGAAAGACCCATCCCTGAAGGGACCCTTTCCTTTCCAGCAACACCAGCTTGCCGATTACGCGACCGACTCCCTGCAGCGAGAGCTCGACTCCCCAAACCTGGCCAAATTACAGGCTAGCTTACTCCTGCTGCACGTCAAGCCCAACCATGTCGACAGTATTGAGCATCCACGGACCTGGACCTCGACCGCCGAGGCTGTGGCTATAGCGCAAATGATCGGACTACACCAGGATCCAGAGCGGTGGTCCCTCGCGCCCTGGGAAAAGAGGCTGCGCAGGAAGCTCTGGTGGGCAACATACATCACAGACGTATGGTCGGCCGTATGCCACGGAAACCCACCACACATCTATCCCGCATCTTTCAATACTTCCGTGATCGGAATGGAGGATTTGAGGAGCGATGAAGATCTGTCCGAAGACCTCAAAGTCATGGTCGAACCTATCAGTGCTCGTTTCCATGTGTCTACCGGAGCGCGCTTTCTAGAGTTGGTGAAAATTAGTAAAACGGTGCGAGACCTGATTGATTATAGTTTGTAAGTATACTTTCCCCGTTGCATGGCTTTCCGGCGTTCGGGGCTCATATCCTTCAGTCAAGTGCCGAGACTGCGGCCGCCGAGGCCCGAGGAAGCTACAGATCACGCGCGACTGCTTGAGATGAAAGAGGCACTCAGGGACTGGGAAGACATGCTACCCCATGGTCTGCTAATGCCCGCTCCCGAAAGAACAACCGGCTCATCCAACAATGGTACGTTGTATCGACCTCCAAAAGAAAAGAGCCAAGAACGGCTGACGAATAGAGCTAGCACCCCTTCATCTGGCCTACCATGCCTATCATGCTCTTCTGTTCCGGGCGCTCATGAGCCCGGCGACAAATGAGGCGAAGAGCGACCCCTCTTCGAACCTTTGCCGCTGGTTTGGTATCGCCGTGGCCGAGTTTCAAGGCTTCGCGAAGTTCATGGAAGAGGTCACAGCCGAGGATCTGCAGGGTTTCTGGGGGCGCCGTAAGTCAAGCTCCAATACAGTGTTGTCTGTCACACCAATCATTAGACTGACTTTTGACTGCAGATGCTCGATCCCAACTCATACTTTGCGGGAACTTCATCATCTTCCTATTCCTGCAACAGCCCAAGTCTTTAGATCTTCAGTCCGCCTGGAGTCTAGTCCAGACCCTGCGCTCATCCTTGTACAGGCTCGAGAGCCAGGCAGATGACGTGGCAAAGTTGCTGATTCGGCCTGTGTTGTTGCGCATAGAGTCACTTTTCTCCCAAGGACCGGAGCTCATACGACAGTATCATTCAGCGAGAGTGGCCACATCCTCGGCACAGGGGGACGTAGGGCCCTCGTCACAAAGCCAGTAGCCTCATGATATGAAGGTATTCATCTTGATTCATTATTCTTTACAGCCTGGAACTCCTCATTATGCCAAGGGATGCAATACTGACAATGCCAGGAAGTTTGGCTTACTTCTTGTCCTCCATGCCCTCGCGGAGGATCTCGATCTGCCTCTTGATCTCGACCCACAGGACAAGCTTGTCCAGACCCTCATCGTCAGCTGCAGCGTCAACGACACCGAGCCAGTCGTCCTCCAGCTGCTCCGTCAGAGCCTCGATATCATCAATCTTCCGGTCGTCCTCCTTCTGCGCGATGGCCAGAAGAGCAGCAACGAAGGCCTCCTGAATGTATGCAAAGCTGAACTTGTCGGTAATCTTGGCAATGGCAGTGCAGAGCTTATCGGGGAACTCGATCTCCTTGTTGCTCTTGAGCTTCTTCTGCCAGAATTTGCAGTATGCAGCGCGCTGCTCGAGGTCGGGGTCGGGGAAGTAGTACTTTCGGTCGAAGCGAGATGGGCGTTTCTGGATTCGGTCAGTCATTGGCTCGCATCTTTACAGCAGTACTGGCGGACTTACAGAGATACCAGGGTCGAGACGGTCCAAGTGGTTTGTGCTCCCGATGACCAAGATACCGTCGTTCGCCTTGAGCCCATCCATTTCGTTCAGGAAGTAGCTCCTCACATCGTCTGACACAATCGTGTCAAGGTCCTCAAAGACCAGGTAGCAGGGTGCAAACTGACGCGCCTTGCCAAAGATCTGTCCAAGCGAGTACTCCGGACCAGCGTACGAGGTCAACGTCCGCACGTACAGCGTGGGGATCTTCTTTTCGTAAAGCATGCGCATTGTCGCCTTGATGGAGATGGTCTTGCCGTTGCCTGGCGGACCGTGGTAGATCAGGCCGCGTTTCCACGGGACCTTGAGGTTCTGATACGTCTCGCGCGAGTTGTAGAATGACAGGTGGTCGTCGATCAGCGCCTTCTTCATGTCGGCGTCGAGGATGACATTCTCCCACGACGCGTTCCTCGTGCTCTCGAACAGGTCACGGCTCTTTTGCCAGGAGCCTTGGTCATAAACCCACACCTCGTCGTGCAGGTCCTCGCTCCATGACCCGGCGGCGAGGACGAGGCGGTCGACGTGGTACGTCTCGGGGGCGAGAACGTAGAAGTTTTTCGTTGTAACATAGCCTGTGGTGCCGTCGCGGCCATCGACAAGATAGACGATGAACTCGTGGCCCTGCCACTTGTAGAGGTACTTGCCGTAGACAATGCTGTTGGCGAGAGCGCCGAGGTTGCCATCCATGCGGCGGGCGGGGGGCAGATAGACGGTCCACTCGAGGGAGTCGGTGCCATTACCGCCGTCATCGCTGAGGGGCTCGTAGGAGGCGAAGCCGGCGGCGGCGTAGGAGAGCAGATCGCAGGTGGCGGCGCCGTAGCCCAATTGCTCGGGGACGACGACCAGCTGCAGGTTGGGGTATTGGGCTTTGAGGGCTTTGGTAACGACGAGGTCTGTGGCGACGCGTTTGGCGGAGGAGTGGTCGAAGTAGGCGGATGTCGTGGCGTCGGAAGGCGGTTCCGAGGAGGAGGCGGGTTTGGGAGTCGTGTGGGATGTAGAGGGAGAGGCCGTCGCTGTCGTTGTCGGGCGGGGAGTGAGGCGCGGAGGTTGGCGATTAGGGACTATGGCGGGTGTGATGGGATAGTCATCGTGAGTCGTGTTCCAACGGGGGAAGGCCGGCATCTTGGCGGTGTTTGGCGTCGTGTTGTTTTGGTCAATTGAGCTTTGGGATTGAAGCTATCGCTGGGAGATTGAGATGGGGAAGATGCAGAATGGAGGGAGCTAAGGTAGGAGCTGCAAGGCGGGGGAATCTCAGCTCCAGGCTATCGAGGTGACCGGGGGCGGTTGCCTAATGATCGTCGTAATTAGGAAGATGGAGGAGGAGGTTGGAGGGCCGCCGTATGGGGAAGCTGTGCGACTGTGCCGCTGCCCCTGTGGTGAGATGACGTTGTGCCATTCGCTGTGGAACTCCACTGCTGGGAGCTAGGGGGAAGCTGCTGCGCCCCCCGGGCCGCTACCTAGACAGGGGATAGTGATCGTCCTGGGACGCAGAGCGATTGGAGCTTGGCTCAGCTTCGATACGAGGCGGATGTGTTTGTCTTACTTGTGTTACCTGTGGACTCGTCCGCCTGGCGACCCGATTCTCTCCAATTGGTATGTTTTGACGCAGATACACAGTTGGGTGTTTGATGCTGATGACGGGAAAACAATGCGATGACGGCGCGATTCAGATAAAAGCGGGAGAATTGGGCCCGAGGTTGTCTCCTGAGTTTAGAGTTGCAGTGATATTGCGACTGACCGAAGTTTTACCTTGGAAATGGGTTTAATCGGGGCCGCTTGTTTTGGAACGGGCAGGTGCAGGCGCGCGATGCCGGCAGCCGGGCCGCGTTCTCCGCGGAACGGGGCCGGGTGGGCCGCTTGTTGTCTCTCCCCGTTATCAGTGCATGCCGTGCCGCCGTGGTACGGGCTGGATGTCCGGGGTGCCCCGTTGTTTCCGGCCACACACCGACACTGGACCCCCGGTGTCGCCGTGTGCTTTGTATGATGTGCGTCGGCCGATCTGCCTCCGGGCCGAGCCGTTGCTGGTGAACTCTGCCAATCCTTTTGCTTCTGTCACCTTTGGTTTAGATACATAGGCTTCCGTCTCGCAGCTTTCCATACCATCATCTGAAGCTCTGGTTATAGGATGCCTAGACAAGAAGGTTTACCTTATGATTTGCAAGTCAGGCTCCCTCCTTGTCTCATCTCTTGACTGACTGCCTTCCATCTAAACTGATTTCCTTTCGAGCAGGAGAGTTGAAGGAAGAAAGGCGATGAATTAGTTGACAGCGTTCAGCAGCACCTCCATCAAGGTCTATGAGCTACTTGCTCACTCCTCTTGGCGAACCAAATTCAGAAGGATTTTTACTGATCAATTACTAACCATCCAAACTGCCTGGAATCTTGTCAGTGGAGCATCGGCAATGTTTTCCAGGCCGTGGTGGTGGAGCTCCGCAAGCTCTATGCTACCCTTGCCAGCATCTGTTTCGGAGCGGTTTGAATTACAGAGTCGTTGACTTGGAAACTAACCTCCGAGTTCCTCGGAACCCGTTCGTCGCGGGTGCCACGATAGACCGGTCTTCCCACCGAAGCTCGCCCGTTTGACCCGCGTGATTGCGGTCGGCTTCACCACGCCCGTATTGAAGCCATTCCCAACGTCCACGCCGCCCAAGCCGACCATGACAAGACTGCCGGTCTACCCGTTCACATGGTCACCAAGTGACATCGCCCTCGGTTTCGTCCCGCTTGAGCCGCATCCCAACCCGAACGATCTCCCCCCGCCGATCGCCTGCGAAATCCCCCGCGCCGAGGGGGCGATCAATCGTTCCAGCCATCGCCGGTTCCCTTGGCGTGCATCACCACGCCCATCGCGAGCAGCTCGCTTCCCCACGTGCACATCGCCGACCCGACATGCTGGCCTCGGGGCAAAGAAAAGAAGACTCCATGACACAGGTCAACACAATCCGAGAGAAGAGAACAGCAAAAAGTCGCCGCACCAAGCGCCAGAAAGCGGCCCCAGCTCGCGCCTCCCTCGCACGCCTCTTCCCAGTTGACACGTCTCAGCGCCGATGGGTCAACCTTGCCGCTCGGCCAAGTCCGGTCTCAGACTGGCATCAAAACCCACGCCGTCGTTCCACCTTCTTCCCACCCAGCGCGCCCTCGCCTTTTGCCAGAGGCCTATTTTCACTGCTAAAGGCGCGAAAAAAGCGGTCCTTCGAACTGTTCCAGCGTCAAAAGTCGCCGTCTGGGCGTTGCCCCCTTCGTGTAGCTTCTGGAACCTTAAAACTGGCAGTTAACGCTGCTTCAAATAGATTGCGCTCTGCGGCACCTGTTCGTGTTTGCTCCTTCCTCTTGTCTGCTGCCAGGGTGAGAAAGACACATTGAATGATAAATAGTAGATCATTGCCATTTGGAACGTATCACTTCCGTCCGGACTTTCTCAGACGAAAAAAACAACAGTCACACTTCACGAAAACGATTCCATCCAAAGAAAACCATCATCATGCAGATTTCAAACTTCTTATTCCTGGCCGTCTTCGGTCTTGCGACTACCGTCGTGGTGAGCTTGATCATGCCCTCTTGCGATTCAGTGATGGGAGGCTAATGCATCACAGGCCCAGCAGGGAACGTGCACGGCAAAGGGCGAGTGCCAGGCTGGCAACGTCAAGCTCTTCTGCACATCGGGCAGCTGTGCGAAGAAGGAGGGGCAGACGTGTGAGAGGAGCGGAAATTCAGCGAACTGCCCGAAGTGAGCGGTCTCACCCCGTCAAGAGGATGGGCGAAGGAATGGTGAAGGTCTCGAATGGCATCAATCATCGATGTCTCTGGCCGTGTACCTCGGTTGGAGGCGGTTTGAAGAACGCATGGAGCGAAGGAGTTTTGGGGTAAACTTGGAATTACGTCGAATGAGTTATGATCGCATGAGTTCGTCTACCAGTAGACATCGTCACAATATCACTGCAGAGATGATCTGTTCTAGAACTTGTTGTGGGTCAGCACTAGTAAACTGTGTGCCCCGTGTTCAGCAACAGACGGATATGAGGTACGGTAAACTCGGAGTCTTGGTGGAAGTTTTGCGAGTTTTGATGATACCCATCTAGTGGTCCGCTCGGTCTCCTGGTCTTACCTGCAGCATCATGCTCGCTCCTTTCAGGTCGGCTCTACATCGACGACATAATCTCAACATTTATTTACTAACAGCTGTTTAGAACCTCTTATGAAGTATGAGGCACTGGCTGGGCTTCCAGACTTTCAGGGTCACCGGATACGGCGGATAAGCCCAATCTCATCCAATGGTTCATGCCATGACAAACGTGACCTACCATCTATACATGGCCAAAGGTGTTCTTCGACAACGCCATGCCAGTGGAAGTCTCTGGTATCTTTCTGCAACCATCGCGTGAACGGCATTTACCGTCAGCTACTAGCAGAGGGCC